ATGGACTTCACATGCTGAATTTTTCTTTTTTAATTACCCACACTCCTATCACATATGCTGAAGTGACCTTGTTTTTTTTTTTTTCCTATAGCTTCTCCAACAATTTGCTGAGATGCAGAGATTTATAGAGAGTCCTTCTGGGTTAGGAATTTACAGGTTAACTCTTTCTTGTGCAAGTTCATACTATTTCTGAAAATATATTCCCAGCAAACAATTCAAAATAGGGAAAGGTTCAAATGCGCACAAATGTTCCTTGCAACATTATTTAGAATAAGAAAAAGTGAGGGGTGGTTATATGGCAATATGATAAAACGTGTAAATTAGTGTTAAATGAAAAGAGGAGGATGTAAACCTAGGCCTGTGCTGCGCTGTGCTTAGTCGCTCAGTTGTGTCTGACTCTTTGCAACCCCAGGGACCATATCCCACCAGGTTCCTCTGTCCATTGCATTCTCCAGGCAAGAATACTGGAGTAGGTTGCCACTCCCTCCTCCAGGGAATCTTCCCAACCCAGGGATCAAATCCAGGTCTCCTGCATTGCAGGTGGATTCTTTACCATCTGAGCCACCAAGGAAGCCCAAGAATACTGGAGCAGGTAGCATATCCCTTCTCCAGGGGATCTTCCCAACCCAGGAATCAAACTAGGGTTTCTGCATTGCAGACAGATCCTTTACCAGCTGAGCTACCAGGGAAGCTCCAAACCTAGACATATAACTATGTAAAAATGCACATGAGGTGATTTCCCCAGTGGTTCAGGTTAAGAATCTGCCTTGCAATGCAGAGGACTCTCACTGAGGTTCTATCCCTCATTGGCGAGCTAAGATCCCACATATCATGGAGCAACTATGCCCATACGCCTCAATTAGAGAGTCCACACGCTGCAACTAGGACCCCAAATAAGTAAGTAAAAACTAAGTTTTAAAAAATGCACGTGAAAAAAGACTGGAAGGAACACACACAACTATTGTAAGTAGTTGTGAATATACACAATTTTGCCAAGATGACAAACTAGCTTTTTAAAAGTTTTCTAAACTTTTTTTATTTTGTCATGTTGCTTGATTAATTTTTATAAATGATTTCAAGTAGATCACTGCTTCGGTGGATTGATGGAGTAACTCAATCTTTTTACCTGAAGTGGGACAAAAATCTCACTCCCATTTTGTTACATAGCCTTCATTTAAATTGGACTATTGAAAAGTCAGCTCCACTAACACTGATTCATAAAAGGTGTTTGATGGCTTAATATAGGAGTTGATATCACAAATGAATGTAAGTCCAGCAGGGAAGCAAGTCTGATGGCTGATGCCATCTGGGGACGTTGGGCCTGAGTTCATAGGTATTTCAAGGAAATTGGGATTTTTTTCGTGATTCCCCAGATTTGTGCGTTTTGGCCACTAATCCAAATTCAAAACTAAAGTAGAAGCATTTGTGGGCCAAACAGAACAAATCTACAAGCTGGATTCAGCCAGCTGGCAGCCAGTTTGAGACCTCTAGCATGAAACCCATTTCTGAAGTTACAGCCGACTGCCTGATCTCTGAGCATTCAGCCACCAAACCCCACCTCCCACTGTGCTATCCCGTTGACTCTTCCTCAGTGAGCCGTGCATCACTTCTGGCTGTTTGATGAGGTTGATAGAAGACGTTAGTCCTCAAAGTATGAAGGCTTGTGAACCTATCCCTAGTTGGAAGCATTTCTCCTACCAGAATGTGAAAGCTGGCAACATCTTTAATATTACTTTGTATTGCCATCTGTTGCTTACATTTACTGTGACTGTGAAGAATGGATTTGAAGCTGTTCGAATAGGACTGGTTTCATCCTTGACCCCTTCAGTGTTGTCAGATGTACCAGCCAGATTTGGGCTGTGTTTCCAGCTTGTTGTCAATCAGATCTAAGCAATCAATGTGTTAATCACTGTTTTCTTCCAATATCACTGACCTGACACCAGTTTATTGGTTTCAGAGAGCTTGCCCTCAAGATGTAGCCCCCTCTTCTGCTGTTTCTTCACTCTGTCTCCCTCTCTCTGTCATCCCTGGATGCTTCTTTGGCACTGTAACCAAACACAGAGGGATCATTCCTGCTTTTATGCTAGCATCTGCTTCTGCTGTCTTGGGAAGAGGCCCAGGCAGAACTTCCCTGATGGCCCAGTGGTTAAGACTCCATGCTTCCAAAGCAGGGGTTGTGGGTTCAATCCATGGTTAGGGAAACAAGATCCCACACACAGTGCAGTCAGAAGATTTAAAAATAATAATGAGGAATGGGCCCAGGCAAACTTCACTTCTAGAAAATGACCCTTTTCCCTGCAGTGACCCCAATGGCTTTGCCACAAAGGTCGTCTCACTCTTCTCTGGAATATTTGGACCTGGACTTACATCAAAGGGCAGCTGATGCTCCAGGACTGACCATCATTCCCAGTCTTGCTACACCATGGACTATCTGGCTCCAGAAGGTCAGTGTGATGTCCTGAGGCCCTGGGGCCATGGCAAATGGCACCTGAAAGATCTAGGAGTTGGTACATTGATCAATCAATTAACCACTCATCAATAAACAAATGAGCTGAGACTCCCCAAGTAGCCAGCTTGGCTTTGACATAGAGACCGGCTCCCTCCTTCACCATCCGGGACCTATTGTGGTTACAAACGCCTCCTATTAGTTCTTGGTTTATTTGGGAACTGCAGATGCTGCCAGATGTTTACTTTTAACGTGAGGAGAGTTACACTGCCCTTGTGGTTGAAGAAAGGGGGGCTGGGGGTGCGGGTGGGGTGGGCAAGCCCCTGCACAGCCCAGTCACTGGGGGCTCCTTCCCTCCCCCCTCCAGATGTGGCCCAGGCGCCCCCCACCCCCATTTCGCCAAGTCAGCAGACCCAGACTATTCCAAGCATGGAGGACCCTGCAGGCTCCAGAGCACAGGCAGAACCACACATGGCCCACCATGTGGGACACATGTGTGTAACTCTGAGGTCATGCCTGGGCTCTACCAGCCCTCACAGTGCTCTCCTCACCACAGAATCCCCCTCTCACCTTGGTCTTTGAAGCAGCCCCTTCCTCGTCTAGACCAAAAGGCAGACGTCCCTGTGGAATGATTTGGACCATCTGTAAATCATGCTTTGGGAAGCTATGGCTATGGTAGAACACTGAGACTACCCTTAGAACCCCAGAAAGCCCAATCCATTTTGCAGCTACAACCCTGTTGCCTGCTCCCATCACCACTTGTAGAGCCCAGTAGGATTGTGGGATCTCAAGTTCCTAAGGGAAACTGAGGCTGATGGCAGAGGCCAAAAGCACCAGTATCTTCCCACCAGGGTCCAAAATCTCCCAGAGACAGGGCAAGCAATAACCTACAATCCCTGCCCCTTGAAGGGAAAGGTCCTGATTCCACATCACTTTGCCACCTTCGTCTCCACTGCTGGACAAGGAGGGAAAGCCTTCTCATTGTTTCAATCTATTCTCCTTCTCCCTTCTACTTTCTTGGGCTCTATCAACCTAAAAGCTAAAAATATCCTCTTTTTCTCTTTTCTGCCTGCTATACCCGGAAAGCAGGATGAAATGGCAGAAACTCACAACCAGCCTGTACTTTCAAACAGAAACGGACCTGGGAGGAGGGAGAAGTGAGCGGCAGCACTCAGACCATCCCAGACAGGCTGCAGTAGCCTTGCAGAGAAGAGGCCCATGAATACAGCCACACATACTTTTTTGAGAACTTATGATGTGACATCAGACTAGGCGGAGTATGAGTAAGGAGACCCACTTACTGGATTTTCTTAGAATTCCTAGGAACTATACCCGTCCCATGTCTGAGCCATTCATCCCAAACTCAGCAACGACTGAGAGCTAGTAGGAAAAGGAAAGAACTGCCTTGATAACTTTCTCTAGATCTCGTGTTTCCAAGACTAAATGGGAGGCAGAAATCACAAATTGTTATCTCAATGTGAAATGTAAACGTAAGCAGTTCTTACCTGTATCCAACCCTCTCCACTCCCACCCTTCACCATCTCCATCTTCTGCAAAAACCCACAGTATATAATTATTCAGCTGGAAACTGAAGTATTTTCAATCCAGCGCTCATCTTTCTTTTCCCTCACCCACAGCTACTCCTGCACAGGACTAAGGCCAAGATGAAGGCGGCCTCCTCCAGAAAGTCCCGCTATCTTTTTCCTCATATATTCCTGCTACTCCCACCCCTGGGGCCTGCTTTCTTTTCCTTCTTGTTTTCATCGAGTCTCTGACCCTTCTGAGAGGGTGGAGTCATCAATAAATAATCAAACTGTACACATATATTCCACTCTTCAGCTTTGTTGAAAAACATTACCACCAGGTAACTCTCCCTGAAAACTTTAGGATGCCCAAGGGAGGAGACACGGGGAATGAAGGACCCGAGGATACTTGGGGAGGGGTAGGGATATGTGACTCTGGTGACTCACTCCTGAAAGTGGCCATGAGTAAGGTTATTTCAAGGTTCTCAAGAAGGAGCAGGAAGTACCCAAAGGCTTGCCTGAGTCTACGGCCTTACCCTCTACCCATCCCCTGTGCATAGAGGTCATGGGAGACCAGGGAGAGGTCCCAGACCAGGAAGAGGTCGTTGAAGACAATAGAAGAGGTAGCTGGGACCTTTGGATAGAGTTCCTGGGTCACCAGGGAGTCACTGTGGTCTCGTGGATATGAACTTGAGCGCTGAAGACAAGTCAGCCCTAGTTCTGAATCCTAGCTCCATAGATGATGCCCTGTGGGACCCCTACAAGGATTCATTTATATCACTTAGCATTGCTTTCTTTATCTGTGAAAAAGGACTAAAATAGTACTTAATTTCTAGGGTAGTTGTGAGGTATGCATACCGACAGTAATGTTGGTGACTCATTGATTATCACTTCATGTACTCTTATTATTATTGTCTTTTACTCTGGGTTCCAGACTTGACTCACACCAAGAGGTCCTAAGGAAAGATGACCATCTCTCTGTGGGTCAGTGTGGCGGGTTCTATCCAGCCTTCCCCCAGGCCTGTATTCCGTCAGATGTGACTCGGTACATGGCAGGTGAGGCAGGCTGGGAGGGCCAGGACCAGACGGGACCACCCAGCGGGCTGGGGAAGGTGCTGGCACGATGGCCTCAGCTGCAGCTGCTGGGCAGCCATCCAGGGTGACGGGCAGAACACAGTGCGCAAGGGTGTGGAAACAGAACAGGCGGCAGCTTGGCGGCAGTCGGCCGCTGGGGAGATGAGCGGAGGACCTTCTAGCATTTGGCAAGAGGGGGTCCTGACCAGCAGGTGGGCCACAGCCATGAGCAACTCCAGAGGGGGGCTCTGAAACCCAAGCAGGTGGGCAGCCTCAGGAAAATCTTGTCAACAGATTCCAGCACCCACCGAAGGTTAGAGGTGATGGAGAGAGGCCAGAGAGAACAAAGTAGGCCCGCAGGCCTAGAAGAACATTCAGGTGGCCAGACGGAAGCTGTCGGCCTAGGACACAGGGAGGAGGAGCATTCCTGGGGCTCAGCCTCAAACCCAGCCCAGAGGATGGGAGAAGACCTGCTCGGCCCGAGAGTGGGGCAGGGCCTGATGAGGGCCAGCCTGATGCTGATCCCTGGCCAGAGCCAGACTAATCTCCAGGTCAATAGGCTCAGGCCTGACACTGAGATGTCCCCACTATATGGGTGCAGGAGAGGGAAGCTGGAGGCCGTTGAGGGCTAACTGTGAACTCTCTCTCTCTCTCTCACACACATACACACACATATACTCTCTCTCTCTCTCTCTCTCTCTCTCTCTCTCTAGTTACTACTACAGTATTCCTGCTTCTTGCCTTTTCACATTTTTTTTCTCCCCCCAGATCCTCCTTGCTGATAAAGAACCAAAGAACCAAAATAGGTAGGGTCAACTTTTTTTTTAATGAAAAGTCCAGTCCCTCAGGACCTAACAGCTCCCCCGACAGTCACCTGGCAAGTGACTTGTCCCCAGGCCCTGCTCTGCACCCCAATGGAAGGAACACGCGCAGCAGTGAGCAGGGAGCTGGACCCAGTTAAGGAAGGACAGTGAGGGTTCCCATAGCCCCTGACTCCAGTCCAGCTCTCGCTTGTCTCTTTTCTAGGATCAGCTAAAAACTCCATAAATTCTGCTCCAGACCCATGTCTTGCCAATGATCCTGAAGACTTTTTCTGGGAGGGTAAGTAACCTTGGAAGCCAGGTGCAAGGCTCATCTCTGCTAGACCCACATCCTGACAGACACGAAAACTTAACCCACACTCATCTATATAGGCCGTTAAGCCTCACGCTTGAGTGTCTACATTAACCCCTAAGCTTCATGTACACACTCATGTTTATACTGTTTCTCAACCCACATGCCTGTTCTTAGTCACTGGCCTCCAGTGTGTAAGGGCACGAGCAACAGGAGTGGGCCCCACATCAGGGAAGGACAATCACTAGATGCCCCAGCCTCTGGGTACATCAACCACACTGTCCTTTTACCTTGCCTGGCCGGGCCCCTTCTTCCTGTTCAGCAAGTGATCTGAGATCTAGTGATCAGGACTTGATGGGAGCAGACCGACTGCCTGCTCACTTTGCCCCCAGCTGTAGAGTATGGTTACTGGTGTGCAGACATTCAGATGCAGTGAGAGCTGAACTCTGCAGACGCCATCTGGAGCTAGGGTCACGGGACCCTTCCCACCTCCAGGGCTTCCTGAATTCATAAAAGGCAGATGACCAGTGATGTCAGTCAGAGGAAATTCGATAGAGAGAAGAGGCTACACAGGTGATGGAAGAGGTAAGAAGCCACATAGGCATGCTAAGCCAATCCAGATGTGAGCAATAGCAGGGAGCCATTTCTGCCCTAGGGCTGGAGAAAGACCGGAAAGAGAGAAAGTGAGGTCACCAGGGTCCGAAGCCAGGGCTGTCCAGTGGGAATCGCAACCACAGAGAGACGGGTTGTCTGATATGAGCCGGAGCCATGAAGAGATCCAGCTTCTGCCAAAGACACCTTAGGAAGCAGAGAGAAAGAGATACCCCAAGTTTCCCCCTCCTTCCACCTTCTAACCTGCTGTCAGGCCCCCTACCGGATGAATTTACCAGAAATTCATCATGAAAGCCAGAGAGCAAAGAGCCTGAGACCTGCAGGCCATACAGAGCAGCCCTGAAAGTTCAAGGGACCAGTCTGAGAGCAAACAGGCTGTGGACCAGCACAGGAATGATAACGCACCAGGCCTTGGATAGGCCAGTGGTGAGAGTTTTAGAGAAATTCTAGAACCACCTCCCCAGGAAGCAGCATCCTTCTCCATCCTCTTGCTTCACAAAGACGGAAACGGACTAACTACCTGGATGCCCTGTCAGCGTGCACAGTCAGAAGGTAATTCTGCACATCATCACAGCGGGAGAGGCCCCTGAAGAAAACTGAACACTGTTTGTTTACTTTTTCCAATTTTTTAAAAAGATTTATTCATCTGCTTATGGCTGTGCTGGGTCTTCTCTGCTGTGTGGGCTTTCTCTAGTTGAGGAGAACAGGGGCTACTCTCTAGCTGGTGCATGTGGGCTTCTCATTGCAGTGGCTTCCCTTATTGCCAAGCATGGGTTCTAGGCACACAGGCTTCAGTAGTTGTGGCACACAGGCGTACATGTCCCATGGCATGTGGGATCTTCTTGGACCAGGGGTTGAACCAGTGTCCCCTGCACAGGTGAATTCTTTACCACTGAACCACCAGGGAAACTCCTTGAGCACTATTGCTTCCATCATGTCTGACTCTCTGCGACCCCACGGACTGTAGCCAGCCAGATTCCTCTGTCCATGGAATTTCCCAGGCAAGAATACTGGAGTGGGTTGCCATGTCCTCCTCCACGGGATCTTCCTGACCCAGGAATCAAACCAACATCTCTTATGTCCCCTGCGTTGGCAGGCAGGTTCTTTACCACTAGTGCCATCTGAGAAGCCCACCCCAAAAAAAGGGTGGCCCTCTCAAAGGTTATCTGGGTTTGTGCCCTGCTTAGGGGCTTGGCTGGGTCCAGGGTCCTTTGGGTCATTTCCTACATGGAAAAGGGCCTGGCCTGTGTCTTGGGGCACGATGAGGAATCCAACTGGCAGCTAGGAAGGAGGCACTGTCCAGGGTACCAGGGCACTCGGCACTCCTTACAGGAGACCAGAGAGCTCCCTCCTCCCGTCCCTCATCCCCTCCTTCAAAAAACCCAGACCACTTTGGCCCAGCTTCCTTTAGGCCTCTTCTGGTGACTCACTAAGATCTTCCGCCTGAGCTGGGCATCAAATGCCTCTACATCTCCCTCTCCATCCCACCCCTTCCCCAGAGCATGATACAGAAGCCCCTCCCTAGAATCCTTCAACAAAGCCTTCAACCCAAGGGTCCTGGGAATTAGGCTGAGGGAGGCAGTATAGTGGGGAGAGGAGAACGTTTCACAGATGCTCAGATGCTTTTCTGGCTCCAGAAAAGGAAGATTTTTGCCCAGCATGGCTTTTGAGTCTGAATATGAGCCCAAGACAACATGCAAAATGTGAAGTTCTTCCCCACCGCACCTGGAACTCCTCTGGCAGCCAGAGCCTAACTTCTTTCTTCTTTTAAATTCATTTATTTTTTAATTGAAGGATAATTGCTTTACAGAATTTTGCTGTTTTCTGTCAAACCTCAGCATGAATCAGCCATAGGTATACATATATCCCCTCCCTTTTGAACCTCTCTACCATCTCCCTCCCATCCCACCCCTCTAGGATGATACAGAGGCCCTGTTTGAGTTTCCAGAGACATACAGCAAATTCCTGTTGGCTATCAGTTTTACACATGGTAATGTAAGTTTCCATGTTACTCTCTCCATACGTCTCACCCTCTCTTCCCCTCTCCCCATGTCCATAAGTCTGTACTCTATTTCTGTTTATCCACTGCTGCCCTGCAGTGGAGAAATTCTCAGTACCATCTTTCTAGATTCTGTATATATGCCTTAGTATATGATATTGATCTTCCTCTTTCTGACTTACATCACTCGGTATAATAGGCAGAGCCTAACTTCTGCTCAGACATTGTCACCCGCTAGTTCCAGTGTATCTGCGTCTCTTGTGTCCTCAGATGGTCTGCAAGCTCTCCATAGGCAGAAGGCCCAACTGCAGAGCGCAGAGTCTGGCCAAGGTCCCACCCCTCAGCACACTGCGCATATCGTTCACAACGGGTCCTGCTGGGGACCAGATACCTGATTGGAAAAGGTTCGGTGCAAAATGAAAATATGGCACTCCTGGTTAAAAGCTTAAATAATTTTTTTAAAATTATTAAAATTGTAAGATGAGGACAGCAGAGCAATGAGCCAGGTACAGAACCCATCTAAGTGTGGGGCCCTGTGCCACGTCCCTGGTCGCACAGCCATGGAGCCCGCCCTGGCCCATGTGGTTTGAGTGGTAGCTTGCCTCCAGAGATGCTGGTATCAACTCCTCACCTCCCTCTGCCTGCACCCCACCCCCACTTCATGAGACAAAGTCCTTTCCCTTGAATGCACTTGACCAACAAAATGCAATGGAAATGACATCCTCGTACCTCCATGACTAGGTCATAAGAACCCTTTGAGCCCTTCCTGACCCTCTTGGACACTTGCTCTTGGGATACTCAGAACCCAGCCATCATGCTGTGAGAAATCCAAGTCACATGGAGAAACCATGTGTGAGTCAACAGCCCCCAGCTGTGCCCCAAGCAGTCAGCCAAGGTCAACCCCAGTCATGGGAGTGAACCAGCCTCCATGTGACCACAATCGCTGAGACAGCGGACTGAAAGCACAAGGGAACCTCGCAGCAAGAACCATCCAACTGAGCCTGGTCAACTCACAGAGCCGTGAAAAACAGTCATAAATTGTTGCTTTGAACTGCTCAGTTTGGGGGATTCTCTGGCAGTCTAGTGGTTAGGACGCAGCGCTTTTGCTGCCAGTGCCTGGGTTCAATCCCTGGCAGGAGAACTAAGATCTCACAAGCTGCAGAGTGCAGCCAAGAAAAAATAAAAACCTGCTAAGCTGTGGTGCTAAGATAGGTAACTGGGATGGGCTCCAAGGAGTGGCATTCACTTGGAAAGCAATGTGAGCAGCCTGGGTTGTGTGCCACATCAGTGCTAGCCAGCACACAGTATGGGCTCAAAAAGGCCAACCACCATTCACTGACCAGAGCAGCGTGTTGGCACCAGACATGTGCCCCCCACCCCTGACTCAAGTCAAGCCCTTCCCCTGGCGGCTGTCCTTTGTGATGAACTCTTTGCCATCTGGTTTCAACCTGACATCTCACTGACTGAAGGGGATGAGAATACTGCTGTCTCCAGAGACTCACG